CCATCAGTGTGTGAATGGGTGAATGATACACTGTAGTGTAAAGCGTTTTGGAGTCCTTACTCTGAGAGGCGCCATACAAGTGCGGGTCATTTATCATTTCTTAGTAAATATTCTATTTGGTGAGAGATAAACTTTATTGTATTTATCCTAGTGGATCTATAATTAAACGAATAAACTAGTATTACCACGTCCAACGTCAAGGAAAGCAAAAAGTTATTATCAGGAGAGGGAGAATGTTTAAGTGGTTAGCAGCAGTGTGCTAGACGATGGCCGTCTTTACCGACTGTACACTCCACCTCCCTCTACTCCCCCACTTGTCCAGATTTAGGCTAACATCAGATTTTAACCATAGGCCCTATCAAATAAAAATGTTTTAAGCCTAGTCTTAAAAGTAGACAAAGTGTCTGCCTCATGGACTAAAGCTGGGAGCTGGTTCCACAGGAGAGGAGCCTGATAACTAAAAGATCTGCCTCCCATCCTAATTTTAGACATTCTGGGAACCACCAGTAGACCTGCAGTCTGAGAGCGAAGTGCTCGGTTAGGAACGTATGGAACAATCAGATTACTGATGTATGATGGAGCTTGATTATTAAGAGCTTTATATGTGAGAAGAAGGATCTTAAAATCTATTCTGAATTTAACAGGTAGCCAATGTAGGGAAGCTAAGACAGGAGAGATATGATCTCTCTTTTTAATTCTCATCAGAACTCTAGCTGCAGCATTTTGGACAAGCTGAAGACTTTTAACTACATTCTGTGGACTTCCTGAGAGTAATGGATTACAGTAATCCAGTCTTGATGTAATAAATGCATGAACTAGTTTTTCAGCATCACTCCTGGAAAGGATGCTTCTAATCTTAGCAATATTCCGAAGGTGGAAAAAGGAAATCCTACAAACCCGTTTAACCTGTGATGTGAATGACATGTCCTGGTCAAAGATAACACCAAGGTTCCTTGCTTTGTTCTCGGAGATTAATGTAATGCCTTTAAGGTCAGGCGATTGGCTAAGCAATTTCCTTTTCTGGATTTCTGGTCCAAAGATGAGAACTTCCGTCTTGTCTTGATTTAAAAGCAAAAAGTTTAGAGTCATCCAGTTTTTTATGTCCTCAAGACAAGCCTGTAATCTACCCAACCGATTAGGTTCATCAGGGTTAAAGGATAAATATAACTGAGTATAACTTGGTTATAGTTCTTTTGGTTTAGTACTCAACAACACTGGTGGCGTCCATTTTTTCTGAGTTGGAAACTGGAACACCAGACTACCCCGTTACATCACTTACTGCTTGGAAAATTCAGATATCTGACATGTTCATCATAGACAGTAAGAATCAATCAGTCATAAACAATGTCTGATGGTATAGATATTATAGAAGGTGACTGTGCTATAGAACATGTCAGTAACGTCACAGTTACTTTGCTAGGTAACTAATTACACAATGTGGTATGTGACGTACAAAATCAACTTCTTTTTGAAAAAGAAATGTGTAACTACAAGTGATAACTTTTTAATGCCCAACACCGGTCATCGGGCCTTGCTCCTCCTCCTGAAGCTAGCCTCGGATCTGAAACACGCCTCCCCTAGAAGTCGGTCATCAACACCCACTTCTCCTAGTTGCGGTGATGGAGCGGTAGATTTCCTGCTGGACTTGAGAATGTCATGTTACAGATGACAGCTTCACAAACCTCCACCACTACCAGAGAGGATGTTTACTTCCGTGTTGGGGACAAAACACCGCCGTAGAAACCATGTCGTGTCCACACAGATGCACAAGAAGCACGTAATGGTCAGCACTAAACTTTTGTACTAGCTTTGGTAAGTTGGTGGACAGAGCACCTGTTTTGAGTGCTGTTATGATCTTACACTGCTTCAAATCCCGGTCTCAGCAGTAATTTATTCCCATGGGTGGAGCGCCTGTGCTGTTTCCAGGGACACGTTCTTCTCATTCACTGCTTTGTGGGTTATGTAATTATGTGTCCCTCCGCTCTCTAAACCGTAGCACTTGTGTGACTAGACTTGGGGTTCGGCATGATGCAGACTTGTCAATGACCCAGCAGACTGAGATCATGCTTTTTTCAACTCCACCGTCTAACTCGACTAAACTCTATCCTGAGATGGTGATTTATCTGTAGTCAGTGATTTGTGCATTCATCACCTCACCTGAGCTGTAAATGCAGTTTCCCTCAGCCATCTACAGAAGGTACATAATGCTGCGGCCAGGTTCTTCACAAGTAGAAAATAGATGTTGCCAAATGACTCCAGTGCTTGAATATATATGTTGGCTTCCTGTGGCCTTTTGTGTCCAGTTCAAAATTCTCATTTTCACCAGCAAAGCTCTCCAGCTGAGTTTCTTAGCCCGTATCGTCTGACCAGATCCTTGCAATCTGCTGAGCATCACTTGCTGTGCATCCCTAAAATGAAATATCACACGGTGAGCATGCTTTTGGCTCCCACACTCGCTTGTTTCAGGTCTAGCCACAGTCCCATTTCTATAGATTAGTTT